CTTCTCAGCACCAGGTTCTTGGAGTGTAGTTGGTGGCCAGACCACCCAGCAGCTGCCAGCTTCCCCTGGCACCTGCTTCAGGTGGTTTTGTAGAGAGGGCCTCTGTTACCAGTGGAGGGTCTTGACTAAGAGTTGTCCGGGTTCTTGGTGTTTTGAACAAAGAATTGGACAAAATGCATAAACAAAGGAATGAAAGAATGAAGCAACAAAAGCACAGATTTATTAAAATCAAAGTATACTCCAGAGATTGGGAACCAGCTGGAGCCAGTGGCTCAAGAGCACTGATTACAAAATCTTCTGGGTTTTAAGTACTCTCTAGAGTACTTAAACCAAGTAACCCATTGGTTACTTGGTTACACCCTATGCACTTGAAGACTTAGCCTGAGACCAGTCTGATTGGTTGCAGGAGGTGACCAATCAGAGGCTGAAATGAAGTTACAAAGTTACACCCTATGCAAATGAAGACCTGGCTGGTGACCAGTTTGATTGGTTGAAGTGAAGGCTTCCGGCCTCCAGAACCTATTCTGCCTCACCTTCATTGAGATGCCTCATGAACTGGCTCTCTCTCTGGCACCTAGAGGGTGGATTTCCATAAAGTTCTAAAGGACAAATTTCTAGCAAGTTTCATGGGCATGGCACCTTGATGACTTCTCTGCCATCTAGGGAGAGCCTGAGCCATGCTGTCTTCAACAGGGTTTGGCTGTGACCCTTGGGGGTGAGGGGGAGATGAGGGCATACTCTGTGGGTCTCTATCTCAGCTCTAGGGGTAGTGGCTAGTTGTGTTATGTTCTTAGGGCTGAATTCTGTCTCCCTAAATGCATATGTTGAAGTCGTAATCCCTAGTACCTTAGAATATGACTGTATCTGGTAATTAGGATGGACCCTAATCTGAGTGACTGGTGTTCTTAGAAGAAGAGGTCAGGACACAGATATAGAGGGAAGACCGTGTGAGGACATAGGGAGAAGGTGGCCATCTACAAGCAGAGAGAGGCTTCTGAAGACAACAGCCCTGCTGATACCGTGTTTTTTGGATTTCTAGCCCCTGGAACTGTGAGAAAATACATTGTTGTTTAAGCCACCAAGCCTGTGGCACTTGGTTATGGCAGCCCTAGCAAAGTAACACATATGTCATTTGCAAGGATATCTGCTACTGCTATAGTTTTCAGAGTTCTCTTTACTTCTTACTAGCCAACCTCTTGATATTCCAACTCACTGTTACAGTTTATAATTTGTTATACAGTTGATCCTCCATATCCCCAGTTTCTGCATCTGAGGATTTAATCAACTGCAGATCAAATATACTTAAAAAAGAAGCAAAAATAACATTATAATAATACACATGATATAAATTTAAAAACAGTGCAATAGCTACTTACATAGCATTTATATTGCATTAGGTACTTTAAGTAGAGATGATTTAATGCATATGGGAGATTATATATAGGTTATATACAAATACTATGCCATTTTATATAAGGAACTCGAGCATGCATGGATTTTGGTATCCTCAGGGGCCAACCCCCCATGGATACTGAGGGACGACTGTGTTAATTCAGCTTACTGTGTGGTTTCTCTCTCCTGAGTGGGCCCAGATAGATACACCTGTGTATCCCCAGTCCAAGCACTGCTGTGGGGTCCAGCCCTATAGGGTCCCTTGAGTCCCTCTCTGCAGGTGTGGAGATGAGAAATTGTAGAAATAAAAGACACAAGACACAGAGATAAAGAAAAGAAAGTTTGGGGCCAGGGGTCCACTGCTATCCAAAGCGTGGAGACCGGCAGTGGCCCCGAGAGCCTGGAGACTCTGACTTTTATTGAGTACAAAGCGGGGGGAAGGGCAGGTAGGTTGAGGTAATGGTGGTCAGTGATAGGGTCAGGTAAATCACGTGTCTTGGAGATGGGGTCCCAAGACTTTGAAGAAGCCGAGGTCTGGAGAAAACCTAAGGTGTCAGCACTTTTTTCATATTTGTCAAGAAATAACAAGGTCACTAAGATTTATGTTACGATCACTAATTCTTATCTTCTAGGAAAAAGAGGAACCAGGTGCAGAAGCAGAACTTGAAAGTAGACATGGAAGGTGACCGCTGAAGCACAGCACCACATAGAGACAGTTAAGTCCCCGGATGTCTGTGGGCCTCCCTGACAGCTGTCAGGCCTACCACAAGAGCTTGGGAGAGCAGAGTTTTCTCCTCACTCCCCCGAGGAAGGAGACGTCTCCATCATCTTGGACGTCTCTTTCCCTAGCTGGCTAAACAGCAGGTGCTTTCACAGCGCTGACGCTGCCGCACAGCCAAGGTGTCCTCCAGCAGCCCTTATGCCGGCATGACAGAGGACTTAGAGCATCTTGCCTTGGGGTCACCTGTTTTCCATGCCACTTAAGTCCCATACTTCTTGACCTGAGACTTATTAGTAAGATTAAAGATTATATAATTATATGTGTTATATATTTATGATTACATATGAATAGGTATGTGATTATTTATTATTATATATAGGAATAACTATGTGTGACTACATCTCTAATTCTTTTCTAATTCTATGTTTATATGAGAACACACTGAGTCTTCAGACTCCTGCCTCAGCTCTTGCGGGATTTCCCCCCACACACTTCCTCGTTTCTGATTCTGTGACCTTCAGCGTTATGACTATCATAACTATCCATTTTCTGATGCAGAGAGAAACTTCCACCCCACCCACAGGGTGTGTCATTGTCTCCTGGCCAAGGAAAAGGTAACCCCAGCAGTTGGATATTATTATTCACACTTGAATAAGATTCTACTGCAATCAAAGCCCAGGCCATATAGGGCTGAACTGATTCGTAATCCTTTCCTCTACATTCCTCTCCACTCCCTCTCCCCAAGAGAACGTCAGACATGATTACTCCTGATGTTCTGGGAGCAGTCCCTCGGGCCAGGAGTTGCAAACTACCACCTGCAGACCACTTATGGTCTGTGTTTGTACAGCACACAAGCTAAGAATGGTTCTTACCTTTTTAAAGGGTCATAAAAACGAAAAGAATAAGTGCAACAGAGATTGACTGTATGTGGCATGCAAAGCCTAAAATATTTAAAGTCTGACATTTTACAGAAAAATTTGTGGACCTCTATCTCACACCAAATGACACAATCCCATCTTCAAAGCAAATAATCACTATGACGGTTAATATTAGGTGTCAATTTGATTGAACTGATAGATGCCTAGATGGCTGATAAAGCATTGTTCTTGGATGTGTCTGTGAGGGTGTTGCCAGAGGAGACTGACATTTGAGTTGATGGTCTGGGAGAGGAAGACCCACCCTTAATGTGGATGGGCACCATCCATTGGGCTGCCAGCTTGGCTAGAACAAAGCAGGTGGAAGAAAGGGGATAAGCTTGTCTGCTGAGTCTTCTCCGTCTTTCTCTCTTCCCATGCTTTTCAGGACACTAGGCTTCTTCTGCCCTTGGACATCAGACTCCAGGTTCCTCAGCCTTTGGACTCTGGGACTTGCACCAGTGACCTCCCAGGGGCTCAGAATGAGAGCTGCGCTGTTGGTTTCCCTGGTTTGGGGGCTTTTAGAGTTGGAGTGAACCAAACTACTGGCTTTTCCCTTTTCCCAGCTTGCAGCCTATCATGGGACTTTGCCTCGTAATTGTGTGAACCAATTCTCCCTAATAATCTCATATATATATGTGAGATTATTATATATATGAGATTATAATATATAATATATAATATATAATATATTATATATTATATATTATATATAATATATAATATATTATATAATATATAATATATAATATATTATATAATATATATTCTATGTAATATATATAATATATATTATATATTATATTGTATTATATATTACATTGTATTGTATATTATATAATATATTATATATTATATAATGCAATATATATTATATTATATATATGAGATTATTATATATATTATACATATATGAGATGATTATATCTCTCACATATATATGTGAGATTATTATATATATAAATATACACATATATGTATATATCCCCTATTGGTTCTATCCCTCTGAAGAACACTAACTAATATATAACTTTAAACCAAAGAGTGGCTTCAAGCCAGATTTAGGTTTGAGGAGATGTAGATTTTCTCTAATTTTCCTGGACACAGTACAGTTTCTATAAACCAACAGATCACTTGCTCGACCTCTCAGAGTGAAGCTTGGGCGTTAGGTAACCTCACCAATGTTTAGGTTTCCCTCAGGTGATAAGAGCTCCTTGCCTGATGAAGGTCACCATCATCTAGTGCTCAGGCCTTAATAACTGTACAGGAGAACTTCACTCTGAAGCCGCTGAGCCCCATCAGCCAGGACCCATGGAACTTTATCCCAAAAGAATACCCCTAATATTACTCCTCTGACTTGATTTGAAAAGGTGTTTTTTTTTTTAAGAGTAAAAACCAAATAATTCTAATTGACAAAAAAAGGTAAATAAATAAACATCCTAAGTAGCTGCTGAAATTTTTGTTGTGTCTGATGGTTTCTTTAGGTCTGTCTTCCTAACATACTTAAAATTTTTATCGTGAAAAAATTCTATTTTCTCTATACCCTTCCTGTACTATTCTATTTTGGAACTAGAGAATCAATAACTGGCTTGGTAATGAGCTCATTGTCCTTTTTGCTTTATTGATTCATGATACACTTATTGAAATGTAATAAACTATTCATAAACTTGCAAACTCCAGTTGTCTCAAAGCGTCTCCAAAGAGGTATGTATGTCTTTCAAAAAGATTATGTTACCTATTTTAAACCATTTTGATTTTATTTGTAGGTGAAATGCTGACTCATAGCCCTTGATTCCTGTTTTAGAGTTCAGGCAATCCTCTCTAAAAAATGTTCTTGAGGTACCTGGGGAGAATAACAATTTCAGGTACATGAAGGGTTGTTAAGCAGAAGGCGATTGCCATCTTTGCTTAATTTCCAGGGAGGCTACAACAAGGGAAAAGGCAAATGAAGTTGTAGATATGAAAATAACTATACCTTGGTTTTCTGTAGCTCTTCCAGCCCAATGTGTTCAAAGAATCTTCAATAGATATTTTACTTTCACGGTATATGTATGATGACGATAGCACTGTGAAAAGTAAGACAATGCTTAAGGAATTTTCCCAAGGTCACACAAGGGGGAGGTCTAATTTCTATTTTCTTGACTTTCTTGTAGTGAGAGTTGTTAAAAATTGAAATTGATCTTTATAAAGACTTAGCATCTCTCAATTTGGAACACTTGACAAAGAATAGCCAATAAACTGGTTTATCTACTAAATTAGGAGCAGACAGGGTTGAACCTAATTTAGGCGCTTTCTGCCTCTGTTTTTCTAAGATTCTAGAATCTTTCAAATAGAATATCTAAATACAGGCACTATTTTTTCTGCCAATTTAGAAACGTCTGGATTCAATTATAGAAAATATTGTGTATAAGACACAATGGATATGGTTTAATAGCTTGAGTACCTTCGTGTAAAGTAAAATCAAATATACTTTTACCATTCTTTCACGAGTTCAAGTCATAAAATAAAGTTTACCATTTATGAATAATATCTGTACTAACGATGATTTCTTGACTCCATAATGAAAACTTATCAATATTATAAAATCCTTTGTGCCACTTGTTTTAGAAAAGAAATCACATTGATGTTATAATAGAACAGTGTCATGTCAGATTTTTACTATCTGTGATTAACATTGCAGAGGACCTGATTCCTTATATTATAGTTAAATATATAGCAAAAAAAGATAATGAGATTCCAATGTACTTAGAAGTGTCTTGCCTATTAATTTATTGAAATAAGGCTAGTTTCTTAAAGGGAAGAACTACTAGAAAAGTAACATTTTCATTCTGAAGTCATCCCTTGATGATGACTTTAAACAGTTATTTTGGTGGTCTCATAATTATTCTCCCTACCTCCTGTTTCTCCTATGCCTATTCCTTTTCTGCAGACCATCTCCAAGGTTACATTCCCAGAACGTCTTTCTCTATGATATTCTACTTCTGAGAAACTTTTATAACTCCTGTTTATCTACAGGACAAAGTCTAATCTTCTGAGGTTGGTATCAACGTTCTCTACGCTCCTTAGGAGTGGATGAAATAACTCAGGGACATCTGTAGAGGACTAAAATCAAAATCTTACGAAATAACATGTAAAGAAAGGGCAAAGTATGAGAGGCCAGAGGAGAAGATAGAGAGTCAGAACCAGAAAAGCGCATTGTCAAGCACATTCACTCAAGATGTAAACAGTGACAAAGTCAATGCTAAATTAACAAAGAAAAATTGGATGCAATTAAATGTTTTCACAGCATACAGGGAATTGGGGTATTTGCAACAGTTAATAGTAGAGTTTCTTAATCATTTGTCCTGAGGCGGAGTGTCTCAAAGTGTGTCCATGTACTGGAATCACCTGGGGAGCCTGTTAAGATGCAGTTTTCTGGGACCATCCCAAACATGCTAATTAGAATCACAAGAGTTAATCTGTCTAGTCACCAGTTTTCCCCCAGGATGATTTTTGTATACACTGGACTCCCAGAACCACTGTTACCCAGAATGAAGCCCAGACTTCTAAGGCTGGTATCATGGTTTATAATATGGCTCCAGCTCACCTTTCTAACCTTTTCTACTATAAAGGTACTCCCCTATAAAAATTCTCCAGTATAGCTCTATTTGTATTTTTCTTTTCCTTTTTTTTTGAAACAGAGTCTCATTCTTGTTGCCCAGGCTGGAGTGCAATGGCACAATCTTGGCTTAGCGCAACCTCCACCTCCAGGGTTGAAGTAATTCTCTTAGCCTCCCTAGTACCTGGGATTATAGATGTACGCCACCACGCCTGCCTAATTTTGTATTTTTAGTAGAGACAGGGTTTCTCCATGTTGGTCAGGCTGGTCTCGAACTCCTGACCTCAGGAGATCCGCCCCTCTGTCTCTCAAAGTGCTGGGATTACAGGCGTGAACCACTGTGCCCAGCCTACTTTGTATTTTTCTTAGATTATGCCCTTCTCTAACTTGCTCTTTACTCTAAATCCATCATTACTCAGTGTCTTCTGACCCCATTATTTCTTCTGCCTCTGTCACCTTTGGCATTATGATTGTGCCACTCTCAATACTTGTGATGTATTTTATATGATTAATCATATGACTTTAATTTTTTATATTAATATGTCGACTGCAAGAGTATAATATTGGGCATAGAGAGTATAATGGTAGGCAGAGATAGTACAGTGTGTTACTGTACATAATACAGTGTGTTTACACTATATCTGCCTACCATTATATTGTCTAAGTCCTATCTGTACTAAAAATACAAAACTTAGCTGGGCATGGTGGCAGGCATCTATAATCCCAGCTACTCAGAAGGCTGAGGTAGGACAATGGCTTGAACCTGGGAGGTAGAGGTTGCACTGAGCCAAGATCACGCCACTGCACTCCAACCTGGGCGACAGAGCAATATTCTGTCTGAAAATAAGAAAAGGAAAAAAAAAACTATTTGAGTCTTTTCATAAAGCAAACTTTTTCCTTGCAAAACACCTCAAATTTTACTTATGGTACAAAAGTATTTAATAAGTGACAGATCAGTACAGAAAAACAGAGCTTATAGCTTTTCCTTTAAAACCAGAATGGCCAAGTGAAAAGTCAGTACAGATTCTTATTTTTACTATTAAAAAAAGTCAAAGGGACACACTGGGAATTGGACTACTATGTGTTTTTCTTTCTAGAGATGACATTCATGTTTTCTGATAAGTAATCTAACACACATTGCACTACACCAAAGCAGACAAACAGCCAGTAAGGCTGTGTTCTACCTGCTACTCATGCTGGGCTGGACAGTGGAACACCATCTTGGTAGGAGAGATTTTGACAGGAAAAAACTGCACTCCCTACCTAACCCAGAGAACCTAACAAACTGGTTTATACAGAAAGGATTTTCAGCAAACATGCAAGCACACTAACATGCTATAAGAATATGTTTCAGTCTATTTCTAGCACACTGCATACATTCATAGGTGCCTAGTAACATAGGAACGAACGCCAATGTAGAAAGCATTTTTGCCTTCACAGCACTATCACCTAAAAAGCTCACAGCATATAATACTTTGATCTTTTATGTGGATAATCATGGAAGTTCCAAGATCACATCCACTAGGTTAGCCTGAGTTTTCATCTATAAATTTTTTTTTTCAAAAATAATGCTTAAAAGAGACTTCTAGAAACAGTGGGGACTAAATCAGAACCAGAAGACAGTGACACTAGGACTGGAAATGTTAGGATTAGGAGGTGGCTTTTCAAGTGGAGCTTTTATGCAGAGGACGTCTCTTTCTGTTGATTCCTACAGCGGAGACAAGCTGTAATCACAGGAGATTCCGAAATCTCAAGATAAGCTAGAGTAACACGCTAGATAAATGGGAACTCCACTGAGGCTGAAGTACTGAAACCATGACCCATGTGAAAAAGGGGTGCAAGTGCACAAAAAGATTCATGCTGAGCCTGCTGGGACAGGGGGTGGTGACGGCGGGTTAGTCCACACTCACACACCAGCATGTATGCTAGGGGAAGGCCCCCCCGCCCAGGTGGAGTGCCTGACATGGGCTCACTTCAGAAGCGTGTTACTCAGAAGCTCCTGAGAGAGGTGTCTACTTGAGAAGGAGAGGAGTACTATGGTAAATGAATTCAAGAAGGTGTTTCAGGAGAAATAGGTCCAGGAGGGGTTAGGTCATTTTGGTTTTGACGTATCAATACTTAATATACACGAAGAGTTACATAAGTCAGTCTTTTTAAGATGTATTCTGTCATCATGAGCTGAGCCTATTGGGCCGGTGACATCCAGAATAATCCCATTCATTGGCTGGAGGTAGGACCTAGTGCCGCAGATTGCTCGGGGTAGCTGGCACAGATGATGATTTGCACAACGATGTCATCACTAAGCCACTGCCTAAATCCAGTCCTCGGCCTTCTTTTTCTGCTCTGTAGTCCAAAAACATTTCTTTAAAAGCCTGAAAATCTGTAAAGGTGAGCAGCATGTCGAATGTGTCACCAGCCACTTCATCTTTATAGTGCTGTAATGTTGTGGTGAAAGCTGCCATGTTGAATCCAGAAATTCGCTCCAGCAGCTTGAATATATTTTTCTAACAGAGAAATGCATTCATTAAAAACAGATGTGTAGGTGAATTTATTCTCTTCCGTGTCTTCAAACTCCAGGTAGTACTTGTCCATGAAATTTCTCTGTAATCACTGGAACTCGTCATCCATGACAATGTCCTCTAAATATCTAACCACAGCAACAAATTCTGCATCAGAGGCGGAGGAGAAAGACAGCGCAAAGCTCTCTTCTAAGGCGTCCATCGCCCCGGCCCCGCGTAGGCTCCTACCCCGACCGCGGCCCAACCCACAAGCAGGGCGCGGCTGCCGGCCAGGTTAAGGCCTTGCAGCCAAGGCCGCGGCCGCTCACTGTCTAGTCGGGTCAGCGCCTGCGCGCCAGGCCTGTCCCTCGGTAGCCAGCTGCGGCCACGAGCCAGCCCGGCCTCTAGGCCCCGCCCGGCCCTCTGCGGCCGCCGACGCCACCGCAGGTCCAGGCCTCGGTGATCGCTCTAAAGTAAACTTTTTATGACACAAAAATGTCTTAATTTATTTGGTTTACAAATCTGAATTTTGATGAAACAAGCTTTATTAAAACCCTTCTATATTTAATCTCAAAGCAGTTATGTGGGATACATCACAAATAGCCAACTTTGAGATAAATATGACTCTACTTCTTTTTACTGGACTTTTCCATGTGAATGAATTCTTCACACTGGGTTAGTCAGTATTTTTCTCTAAAGAAGCTTAATAAAATTTGACCCATTACATCAGCCTTTTATCTGAATGTGAAAAGAAGAATTTATGTGGAGAATGCACCACACCCTGTATAACAGTATCTGAGAACCATCAGATGTTATTGCTATAAACATTTGAGGTTGGGAAAGTAATTGTGGGCTTTTTTTTTTTTTT